TGGTTCTACGTTATTGATGCTGTGAGTAGGGACAGTTTTCCCGTGAGGTTGGTAAAGGTCTGAAATGGTACTTCCCATGTGGCCCTTGCTCTTTTTACAGTTGGTGTCAGAAGCTGTGGAATTCGATGCGATGGCTCTGGACTCATGGAAATGTGGGGTCAGCATTCATTATTCAGCCTTAGAACAAAGGAGAGCTGGCCAAAGGCCTTCGGCCTGGCTCTTTTCCCACATCCACTGTCTTCAGCTCCTTGAAAGCTGGGGATTGTCCTGTCCTTGTGGCCCACTTCCTAGGCACTGCCTTAGGCAGTGGGAGGGCCCATGGCGTGTGTCTTCTCCTTGCCTATCTAGAGGTTTCAGGCTAAGTCAGTTTTATATCAAGTCTGAGCAGGAAACCCTGGAGAACTGAGTTAGACAAGAAGCTGGACTCCTAGTTGGTCCAGATACCAGGAGTCATTGGTAACTGATGCAAACCTCCTGGGGCTAAGAACAGAATGGAGAAGCAGGCAGGGAGAGAGGAGGAATGTTTTTCTCTGGCTGGACTTCAACTGATGTTGTGTTCGATCTGTCATGCCACTTGGTGTGTGATATGCAGAAACAGGGAGTCATCTTTATCCTGGGAAAACCACAGAAGGACCTTGTCCTACCCATTTGGTACCCAGCTACACTGAGAGGCATTTTGAGGGACTTTGGTAGATGTGGCTTCTTGTTCTTAGCTACACATACCGAGTCACTCTCTGTGGCCTCTGGAGAATTGTCTGCTCTGTCTTGAACTGTGGGATCCCCCATGTTCCTATCCCAGCTGGTGCGACTCTCAGGATCTGGAGGGGAGTTATGGGGATTCACAACGATGGAGAATGGGAAAGTTGCCCCCTTCAGAGCTTCAGCCTCAGCCACCTGCAGGGCACTCTGCAGCTTTTCAGTGTTGATTTCCACAACCTGTGTTCTCTCCCTACAGCCTGGGAGAGCGAGGCGCTCCAGAGACACATCGAAACCAGTGAAATCCATGGCCCTACCCATGGGGCAAGAGCTAGGATTTGGGTCCAGATCATCCTGATGGAAGATTAGGGGTCTCTGACTTCCTAGACCACCCTCATGAAGAGGAGATAGACTTTGCACATAACTTTGGGCATGTTGTCAGGAGGGGCTGGACCCTGGCAAAGGACATATTGCTTAGAAAAGTGGAGGGTCAGCGAAGGAGAGAAAGACCCTCAGGGAGGTGGATCAACGCAGTGGCTGCAACAGTGGGGTCGGGCACAGCAGAGATTGTGAGGATGGAACGAGATTGGGCAGGGTTTTCATCCTGCTGTGCTTGGGGTCGTTGGGCGTGGGAGCTGGCTTCGCAGTGCCCACCAACCAACAGCAGGCTTCCTGCACTGGAAGTTGAGTAGGAGTTGGTGCTGCTACTATTTCTCGTGCAGCTCTAGGATCTCAGAGTGTCTTTTGCTGTTTCCTTTCGCGCTGTTGCTGCTGTCATTTCAGTCCCACAGGCATTATTTTATACAGTCAGAATTCACTTGGATTGTTCCACACATCCGCCCATGATCTTCTTTCTCTCCTGTCATATCTTCAATCTGATAGCATTTTCTTCAGCCTGAAGTACTCCCTCCAGCATCTCTTGAGGCACAGATCTGCTGGCAGCAAATTCTCCAGCTTTCGTTTATCTGCAAAGTCTTTGATTTGAAGGTGGTTTTATATTTTCTTTTTCCTTGTCCTCTCAGAAGTTAGACCTTACCAGTTGGCTGCCTTCGTTTCTGTCAGCCCCTCAGTTCCGTTTCTCCTTTGAAAGACATATGTCATTATCAGATTTACAATTTTTCTCTTGGTCTTTAGTTTTTAGCATTGTGACTATGTTTTGCCTAGGAATGTTTTCATTTTAACTTATTCTACTTGACATTCAGTGTGTCTTTAATCTATGGCTCTCTGCCTCGACCTGTCTTTTCAGGACTGATGAAAAAGCACTTTGTCACCAACAGTGCCTGTTTATATTGCCCTGTCTGCCACAGGGCGTATCAGTCACTGACCCTGACCACTCAAGGTCACTCCTACTCTTAGGATAGGAAGGGCGTGGGGGTGTCACAACAGAAAGCCGAGCGGGTGTCTAGCCCCTGGTTTTTGTATTGATTACTAACTTTTGTCTCTCCAGCACAGAATAGTGTCCACAAGATTCAGGATTGCCAAAACTTTCATTCACTCTCTGTGTCCTTTCAGTCATAGCTTCTCAAATAGACAGATGCCTTTAGGACGAAAAGGGGCTAAATGTCAGGCTCGGCGCATTGCACAGCTTGTCTCCCTGATCGCCCCGTCAGAGCGAGTGTGCCACACAGTGGCCCTCTGTCGTGTTTCCCAGGCCTGTAGATCTGTATGGGAAGACTGTCCGTTGTACTCCTGTGGTGAGTTCAGTAGCCTGCCATGTGACACGTCATGTCACATACCACCTGTCTGGTCCTTGTTAGGTTGGTACGTCTCCAAGGGCAGTTAATACTTTAAAATATGTTAAAAACTTGACTGTGCTTTGGTGACGGGTGGTGGTGGGAGTGGTGGGCAGTTAATTGGGGTGGACTCAGCTCATTGCCATCGAGTCAGAACTGACTTCATAGCTGACCCTCCGGTGGGTTTTCAGAGGCTGTAAATCACACTGGAGGAGACTGCCCATCTTTCTCCCTCAGAGCAGCGGGTGGATTTGAACCATCTCTGGGTTGGCAGGGCAGCAGTTGGTAGTTTTGAACCATCTGCCTTTGGGTTGGCAGTGCAGTTGCTCACCCACCAGGCCTTCAGAGCTCCCTGAGTAGAAGTCTGAGTGGAATTCTAAGATTCAGGGGAGGTCTTAAGCCCGGGTCGGTAGGGCTGGATCTGTCTAGCACAGCTTTCTTGTTACAGATGTGGAAACTGAGGCACGGAGTGGGGCAGTCCCAGGTGTTCTTGACTGTGCGCTGTGGTGGAGTGAGGGTCAGTGGGTGGCCGGGCTGTGAGGGAGTCAGTGAGGCCAGCCCACCAGCCCTGCCCCTCTTCTCTTCCTGTAGCCGCTGGCTCTCTCCCTGCTGTGTTCTCCCCAGTCAGCGGGTCTCCTGAAGCTCTGGGCAGTGGGGTGGGGCTGGGGACTTACTGCTGTGTGTTCTGGGTGTAGGTCCCCCCAGGCTCTCCTCTCCCACCTATTTCTCATATCAAACTTGGAGCTGGTTTCTGAGAGGGACAGTTTTGTTTGGCATTTTTCACTTAATCCTCGTGGTTGGTGCCCTTCCCACACCCAGTTTCTCTTCCTCTTTTCTCCCCGCCCTATTGTGAATGAAAATCCACGCACCCCTTTATGCTCCACTTTCCCTTCCTGTGCTCAGTGACCTGACAGTTAACCACCAGGCCCGAGGGCATTATGGCCAAGGGGCATCTGTCCTTGCCCTGCAGGGTAGCAGACTCTGCCGTGTACTATGGGCTTCCACACACAGGAGAGCTGTGCTGCCCGGGTCACAACGGGTCTCAGCCTCAGGGGCCCTGGCAGGAAGGGAAGGAGGTACATGTGAACCAGGGCTGGAGTCAGCTGGGGTTGGTGAATGAGGGAGTGGATTTGGCATCAGAAAGCCCTGTGTTCAGAGCACTGGCACTTGGTGGCTGTGTGACCACAGACTCCAGCTGCCTCACTTCTGAAAAAACTCACCTTCCAGGGTCTGGGGGAGTAGGAAGTGTGTGCCCAGTGCAGAGGGAAGCCCTGTGAGGTTACAGAACCTCTCACTGTGTAAGCCTTCCTCTTGTGAAACTGTTTCCTACTGTGGATACTGGGGACTTCGGAGGAGTCAGTGGGCTTTGACAGGGTTTAAAAGTGGAAGCAGAGAGGGGCAGGAAGACCCCCGTCAGGTCTGACCTGGTTGGCTCACAGAGCCCTGCCTCACTCACGGCGTGCTGGTCCGTCCCAGTGTCTGTCTTAACCTGGTGGCCTTTAAGTAGCCCAGAAGGCTCCAAGGACTTTTCCTTGTCACCTGTAGGGTTAATTAGGCTTCTCCTGTGGGCACACTTTGTGTGTGGAGATTCTTACATTTATAACTTTGGAAATATCCAGAAAACTCTCTTGTTTTACAGCTGACTTCTTAACTGGGGGTCATTGTGACGAAGCACACAGGCCCCCCCCAGGATCTCTCAATGGAGCCAGATGAGAAGAAAACAGAAATGTGGCCTCTGGCCCCCTGTGGCTCCTCCCCTTCCTGGAAGTCATGAACTTGGCCCTGATAGCATTTTAAGGACCTCTTGCAGGAGGAGAGGCTGTGAAGTTCTCACACGAAGTGACTTGAAACTTTCTCAGCGTTGGCGTTCCCTCCCACCAGCCCTCGCAGCCCCTAACCTGCTGCTCCCAGAAGTTCCAGAGTCCTGTGGATCAGTTCCGTGCTTGCTTTGTGCCGTGACCCTGCCCTTTCTGGCCTCAGTTCCAGATGTCACCTCCTTCTGGGTCCTTCCACATCCCCACCAGCTCTGGGCAGCTGTGCCCCCTGGAAAGCCCCGGGGACTTTGCTTGCCTGGTCTGCATGTCACTCTTCCTTGCTCCCCATCTCACACCGGCAGTGGCCCCAGGATGCAGAGACACTGAACATTTGGGAACTAGGGCAAGATCCCTACCTTTCTCTTTAGGAGTGACTCAGCTCAGGCCTGGCCTGGAGTCAGACCCTGGAAGCCACTGCTCTGTGACCTGGGAAAGTGGTGCTGTCCCTCTGACCCTCGGTTTTCTTGGTTGTCAAGTGGGGAGACAGCCTGTGCATTAGAGAGAAACACAGTTCATCAGCGCACAGGGATTTTGGAAAGTAGCCAGCCCAGCTGAGAAGGCTGAGGTCCAGAGGGCAGGCCTGACTCGGCTTCGGTTCCATCCTTTCCCTCACCTTCTGTGGAGAAACCTGACAAGAGTCGGAAGTAACCAGCTCGCGTGCATTAATCACACTTGGACGTGCAGGTGTCTGAGGCGGATGAGCTGCTGCTCCTGCACATGGTCTGACTTCGTCTCCACCTGTTCTGTGCTCTCGTAGGGAACTCAGGCTGCGGAACTATGTCCCGGAGGATGAGGACCTGAAGAGGAGGAGGGTGCCCCAGGCCAAGCCAGTTGCAGGTAAGTGACCGCCACTTCCCTGTGGCATCATCGGTGCGTGCACGACAAGTAGAGATTAATAACGCACAGTACTGGGGCCAGAAGTTGAGCCTATAAGAAACCCTCTTTGAGCACCTTACAGCAGATGCATGAGGAGACCTGACAGGCCCATTCTGCTGTGCTCAGGCCTGAGTGTGTGGCCGTACAGAGGCGCATGTGGGTCCTGGGGGACACTGTACCCCTCAGACGGCCCGTCCAGGCTGAGAAGTTGATGGGGCCCTGGAGCCCTCAGGAAGTAGGGCAGGGTGATGGGTCCTGTGAGCTCTGGGTAGATCAGAAGGAGAAAGCCCCCAGGGTTGAGCAGGGAGGCCCCCATAATAGTGAACAAGCAGGTTGGACCCAGGCTTGGCAGTACCCGTAATAAGGGAGGCAGTCCGGCCGTAGGGTGAGGAGGCAGCATCCAGGCCGGCCTGAGGGGCAGCGCCGTCGCATGTTGGTGTGGAATGGCCCAGGAGCATCGGGCCAGCTCTCGGCCTGTCCACAGCCGTCCGTACCCAACGCCAGGAAGCATCTCAGTCACGCGGAGCCCAGTCCTGAGAGTCTTCAGTCTTCACTTTTAGTTGTGTACGTAATAGACGAATGAACACATTCACCGTGGGAGAAGGGAGCTTTCCCCATGCGGCCACCTCCTGGTCTGTGTTCTCACCTCCTCCTCTCCGGAGATCCAGGCGCTTCCCAGGTGATCTGCCTCAAGTGTTGGGCGGAGAGGAGAGATAGAGGCAAAGGCCAAGGCCCCTGCCTGCGCCTCTGCTCCCTCGTGGCCCCTGTCGGCCTGTGGCATGTATGCTGCTTTCTGAAAACCCTCCGTTGTTGTCTTGCCCCCTCTAGTGGAAGAGAAGGTGAAGGAGCAGCTGGAGGCCGCCAAGCCAGAGCCGGTCATTGAGGAAGTGGTGAGTGGCCAGGGGCCGCCCCGTTCCCCTCTCTGCTCCTCGAGTCCTTTTCCCTTCCCCAACTGCTCTTTGGTGCACCTCCCTTCTCTCCATTTCTTTGTTCCTATCCTACTTCGTGACTTCCTCTCCTCCTCCTTATTTTTTCACCTCTGTTCCCTGTCTTCCCAAGCACCCTGGGGCCAAGCCCCTGTGTCCCTGACATGTGTCTCCCTCTTCCCCAGGACCTGGCCAACCTCGCTCCCAGGAAGCCTGATTGGTGAGTGTTTCCCACACAGTCATGGTACAGACAGAGGGCTTCATGGTGCCAGGCATGGGCATCACATGCCCTTCACGGGGGGAGACCAGCACCATAGATGTTCAGCAGCATAAAGTAATTGCTTTCTGAAATTAGTTCTGAGAAGGACACAAATAGAGGGATGAGAGCAGAGTGATGAGGGATGACATTTGTTCGAGACCTGAAAGGCCAGAGGGGGCTGACCGTGAGGAAAGGGGTTAGACATGAGAAACAGCACCCTCCCTCAAGAAGCCCTTTTGGAAGAGTTGGGGCCTGCCCTGCCCCACAAAGCCCCATTACAGCAAGGCTGGACCTTTCCTTTGCCCTGAAAGATGCCCAGGGTGGCGGCAGATTGGTGGGAAGGGCCCACATGGGTTTCTGTCCCTATTCCGCCTGTTCCCCTCTGGCCCTGATTTCCTCATCTTTGAAATGGGGTGCTCGTCCTCCTCCTATGTTCCTGGCTGAGCTTACAAAGAAGGTGAAATAGGTGTGTGAGCGAGGAGGCTCTTAACTTATTTTTTTTTAATTCCACCATGGATCAGAGGAAGGGATCAGATCCCTCAGGCCTGCCACTGTGAGAAGCCTGTTGACTACTGTGCCAACTGAGAGCATTTTAATTTGATGAATCCAAAGCACAAGTCGTGTGTCCTAACAAATCCAGAGCCTGAGATAGCACACGATGCCCGTGGGCACTTCTGGAAGTCTGCAGTGGCAGAAGCACACGTGAGGCCACAGGTCGAGCGGAACCCACAGTGGTCTAAGAAAAGTCCCTTTGATGGTCACTGAGGGGACCAGACAAGACGATTCCCAGAGCTCAGTCCTTGTGTTAAGTGCCAGCCCCCTGACCTGTGAGAGGAGAGGATACTGAGTGTAGACCAGGAGAGAGGACCCATCTGTTCTCCAGGAGACTCCCTTGGACCAACCGATGTGCTTCCTAATCCCTAGTGTAGGTGGGGACAGAGCCAAGCCACATCAGGCTGGCCTTTAGCATCTGCTCTCCCACCTCCTTGCTCCAGGGACCTCAAGAGAGATGTGGCCAAGAAGTTGGAGAAGCTGGAAAAGCGGACGCAGAGGGCCATCGCTGAGCTGATCCGTGAGTACAGGGCTGGGTGAGGCGGGTCCCTGCCAGTGGGGCGTGGTGGGCGAGCACAGAACTGCTCACACCTCCTGCCGTTATTTCTCAGGTGAGAGACTGAAAGGCCAGGAGGACAGCCTGGCCTCTGCAGTGAACGCCACGGCTGAACAGGAAGCCTGTGACTCTGACTGAGGTGTGCCCTCCACCCCACTTTCCTGTCAGACCTGCTTTGCCCAAGGTGGCGGTCTTGGATGAGGGTGGGGCTGGTCTTGCCATCACCTCTACTTTGGCTTCAGAGCAGAGACTCCCCGCATCCTCAGGTCTGAAACGGCTCCTGTGGAGCGAGGTTGGCTGCGTGCCTCTCAGGTGGTCTCTACCACTCTTCACCCTCGGAGCAGGGGTGGGACCAGCACTGATCCTGGGTGTGCTGTGTATATACACGTATGTATGTGTTTAAAGGATTTTCTATTTGGAAATAGTAAACCTCTGTGTATAGCAGAAACCTGGGTTTCTCCTGGGTCCTGGGAATGCGTCTTGAGATAAGGCAGAAGTAGTGCTTCATGTGAATGAGCCCTGTGTTGGGCTGGGCCTGTGGAGCCTGCAGGAGTGAAGAGGACCAGGTTTGGCCACTCTGTGGTCAGCACTGGTGACCTCAGTAACCTTGGGTAACTGAGACAGAGTGAGAGAATTCTCTTAAAACCTCCCTAAGGCCTAGGCCTTGCAGTGGTCTGAGGGGCACAGCCTGGAGATTCTCCTACTCTTCCACTGTGGAGCCCCTCAGTGAGACAGAGGGAGAGAATGGGCCTGGATAAGGGGGTACTCTGTGCCCTGGCACACCTCAACTCTAGGCTGCTCTAGTATGAGGCCAGCCACACCATCCCTTTCCCACCCTGCTGCACCCCATCCAGCCCTTCCTCCAGGCAAACTGGATTCCCTGAGACCTGGACAGGGAAGGGTAACACGTTTGGGCTTCGTGTGGGTTTTAAATATTTGTTCTGGATCCCCAGGGTTTTGTCTCTGGACCTAGTAGCCTCCTTGTGGAATAGACCCTCCAGGGCAGCTGACACCCTCTCTGACTGCAGGTGCCCGTCACCAGTCAACATTTGGTCTCAGGATGGTTTGTTTCCATGCTGATTTCCATGCTTCATTCAGTATTTCCCATTGAACCACTTTCCCATGTCATTCCTTCACTTTCCCCATGCCTGTATACACAGAGCCTCTGTATGAAATGCTCATTTCCACAGTTTTCCCCACTGGTTGGGTCCAGCTGTAACAGTAAAGTGTGTCGGGCCTTGTGGCACAGACTGGAACATCCTATTCCACAGAGTCCAGAGATGGGGTGAGCTGGTCGTCTGGGCTGTTGAAGGTGTGAAAAGGGGTTTATGGAGCAGAGGGATGCCTGAGCTGTCATCTCGTGTGTCCTTCCCTCTGTGCGGTGGTCCATGCACACACACAGTGACCTAGCTCTCCTGGATAGTGCTGAGGACCTGGGTCAGGGAGGTGGAATGAGTGTGTGTACAGAGACTAGCCAGCAGCTGAAACTTGTAGCTGTAACTGAGGACTGCAGTGGTCCTCAGTGAGCTGTCAGACAAAGCCAGGACTCTTAACTTCTTCACAGAACAAGGACCAAACATGCTCACATACACAGCAGGCTGCGTCTGCGCAGTTGGGTGGTCTGTACCTGTGACTGGAAACAGGATGCTTTGCCTGTGATAAAGGAAGCACTTGCTGGGTTCCCATTTAGCGCTGGTCCTGGACTAGAGTAGGCTTAGTCCCCCAGAGGGCTCATGAAAGATCTGCATTTGAACTTACAACCTGGGTACTTTCCTGTAGGTAGAGAGAAAACCAGAAAACTAGCACTGATGAAGGGCTCTCAAACATAAATTGTGGATCACCAAAATCACTAGCAATAAGAGAGATGCAAATCAAAACCACAGTCGGATACCATCTCACTCCAGTAGCAGTGGCAAAGTTTAACATGGCAGCAGGTTATAAATGTTGGAGAGGATGTGGTGAGATAAGAACTCTTACACATTGTTGGTGGGATTGTAAAATGATATAACCACTTTGGAAGGCAGTTTGGTGCTTTCTCCAAAAGCTGAACGTAGAAATTCCATATGACCCAGCTATTCCACTGCTTGAAATATACTCTGAAAGAAAGAGAATTGAGGCACAAATCGAGACTTGTACATCAATGTTCATAGCAGTGTTATTCGCATGTTATTCCATGTCCTGAGAACATGGAAACAGCCCAAATATCAAACCACAATTGAATGGATTGAGAAATTACAGTACATTCAAATGATGGAATACTATGCAGCATGTAGGAGCAATGATTTTGTAAATTACTACCTAACTTGGGAAGGCCTGGAGAGTATTAAGGGAACTAACTCAGTCCTGTAAGGACAAATACTGTATAAAACCATAGAATGAGTATGAGGATCCAAGGGAGGAAGGGGAGGATCAGCAAGAGAAAGATGGGCAGGCAGGGGTTTAATCATAGGGTCACACAATTTGATGGGATGTGTGTGAAGGAAATGGGAAAGATCTGGTGTGAAAAACAATGTATATGAACTTTGTAAATAAGCCAGTATTTTAAAAAAAAAATACAGAGCACATGAGGAAATCCAGTGTCTTTAAAAAGCCAATGATGGAATTAATAAATTGGAAGTTAAAGCTGAAGTTGGATGTAATTAATAAAGTGGAAGTTGAAGGTGTCTGGTGGGGAGCGGGCAGTGTAGATTGAGAACTGTGACATAAAGCTGATAGGAGCTTGAGGGGAAAAAGGCCAGAGATGATGTATATGAAGGAATGACGGATGGTAAAATGACTCATGGTAAATTATGTCCTTGAACTGAGCCTCCCTTTTGCGTACAGCTAAATAACACCAGAAACATGTTAGTGCATCTGTGAGCTAGTGAGGAAGGAAGGAGGACTTGGGCATAAAGTTAAGAGAGGTAGAAGCAGGCCAAGTCCTAGCTTTTGGCTTTAGAATATTTGACAGACTGGGAAAACTTGAGCATTGGGTTTGGGGTCCTTGATGGCAACCCAAGATCTCTGCACAGTGTGGGTCTCATTGGAGAGGCCTTTGTAAAGCTGGGACCCCCAAGGGGCTGCTTCCTTGTCAACTAATAAGAAACTGCTCTCGGAGCATTCCCAGAGGAATATTGGACCTTGCCACTTGGAGTCAAGGGGTGGTCTCTGTGGAGATATTGTATGCACAAGTCAACTCACCTGTGAATTTACACATTAAAAATCTCAAGCCAGATTTTTCCCCTTCTACTTTCTCGTGCCAAAAATGTAGATAACTGAGAGAAACAAATGCAGATCACCTTGGATTAAACCTGCATTCTTCCCAGTCCTCAAAGATGTCCCACCAACAAAGTTCTAGAAAAATGAGCAGCTTACGGAGACATTTACCAGATACACAAAGCAACAAAAAGATCATAACTTGTACTAATCATTTCTATATTATAAAACTCATTGATTTTAAACAATAGATACTCATTATCTCCATTTCTTTGGGTCAAGCATTGAGGCACTTAGCCCCACGGTCAGGATGTCATCTGGGCTGCCTCACCTAAAAACTCAGCGGGGCATGGAAGCCTCTCTTCCTTGATGGATGAACTTCTCAGCCTTACTTAGGGGAGCACTGGTGGCTTAGTGACAAGAAGCTGCACTGCAATCCTGAAGGCACGTGGTTCAAATCCACCAGCTGCTCCACGGGAGAAGGATGGGCAGTCTTCTGTAATTTACGTGTAATTTACAGCCTCAAAACCTGCCAAAGGGTCAGCTATGGGTCGGTTCCGTCTCAGCCGCACACAACAACATAGGCTTACTTAGGGAACTCTGGTGGCCTAGTGGTAAGAAACTGTGCTGCAATCTCAAAGGCACATAGTTTGAATCCACCAGCTGCTCGACAGGAAAAGGATGAGCAGTCGGTCTCCTCCCATGGGATTTACTGCCTCTGAAAACCCACTGGAGAGTCAGCTATGAGTCAATTCGACGTGACGGCCCCCAACAACACAACGTAGGTTTACTTGAATGTTCTCCCAGCATGGTGGCTGGCTTTGCCCACAGTGAAAAAGCCAGGAAGGAGGGTGCCTCTGAGCCCTTTTGTGACCTGGTCCTGGAAGGACGTTCTCACCCACATTCTGTTTGTTAGAGGCAAGTCACCATGTCCAAACCCCATTCAAAGAAGAATTAAGTTCTGTCTTTGGATGGAAGGACTGTCCAAGAATGTGTGAGCATGTTTAAGTCTACCACTTACCCTAAACACATTGTTATAAAGTTAGAGGACACGAACAGTAAAATTGGAAAAGGCACCACCTTTCAGGGGGCAGTAATTGAGCTGCAGGACATCTCAAATGAAGCCATTCTTACTGGAATGGTACCTGCCGTTTGTGTGTGTGTGTGTGTAAACCTGTCAATTTAGGATTCTGTACCAGAGAAAGTAGCTTTCTTTTTTTTTTTTAGAAAGTAGCTTTCAAATGCAAGATCTTTTTAGATGAATACAACCAGGGGCTTTGCCGTGACAATTGTCTTTCTAAAAGAAGTTCCAGTCTGAGTCCTAAAAGCCTTTTAAAATGCAGACATAATTACATCAATCTGTGGTTATACTTAACACCAGTGAATTGCACACTTTGAATGGATCAATAAAGCTTTTTTACAAAATGGAATTAACAAGCGCTCTTTTTTTAAAAAAAAGAAAAATGTGTCATTTTTGAATAGGCATTAAGCATATAGAATAAATGTCCTGTGAAGACAAAGCAAAGCAAGGGGCACTTTAATATATAAATCCAGAGGGAATGGGAGGTGACTGGAATTCTCTCGGATGACGTGAGGATGACGCAGCCTCGGCCAAGGTTCAGATCTGCCCATAGGGTCGCTGGGAATCGAAGTCGGCTCGATGGCACCTAACAGCAAGGTGGGCATGGTTCAGAGGGTCTCTGAGCTGTAGCCGACCGGATGGTACCTACCAACAGCAGTGAAGCCCGTGTTACAGGTTGGAGTGCTGACCCAAAGGTTGGCATTTAACAACACCCTTAGAGACCTGATAGAGGGTCTCCAGGAGATGGAAACAAATCAATGGCAGTGGCTTTTTTTTTAATTGATTAATTTTAATGAAAGTTTACAGAGAGTTAGGATTTCCAGTCATTCATTATTGCACAGGCAGTGGCATTTTTAAGACA